GAGGCACTGGAATGGGTTGCCCAGGGAAGCTGTGAATGCTCCATCCCTGGCGGTGTTCAAGGTCAGGTTGGACAGCGCCTTGGCTGGCATGGCTTAGTGTGAGGTGCCCTGCACCCCATGGCAGGGGGGCTGGAATTAGATGGTCTTAAGGTCCTTTCCAACCCTAACTATTCTATGATTCTATAGAGAAATAAACTACTATTTTTTTATTTAATTATAAATATAAGTATTTTTCATGCTAATATAATTGCCCTGCCCCTTCCCCCTCACCCCAGCAGGCTGGCAAACTAAAAGACACAGCAGAACTATTTGCTCCCACACCATATTATGCACCGACTCAATACCCTTCAGGAAAGCACATGAAAATCTGATAAACCCTTACAGAGTGCTCTCAATGAAATAAAAATCTGAGTTCAGAGGTAGGGGAAAAAAAAAAAATAACCATAGAGCTATACACTGATGGTTTGACATTTATAGTTTTCTACAAGCATTGCCACTTTAAGTTCAGTACATGGAGGACTTAGTGACTCTCCTGTCCAAAATTATAGTGAACAATCTTTAAAGAAAAATATACCATATCTGAATCCTCAAATTCTTTTAAAGTTTTCATTTCATAGCTAACACTAAAAAAAAAAAGAGCTAATTTTAAAGACCTCTGAAGGAAGACAACGGTCAGGAATGCATATTTGATTCATACAAGCTCTATTTGAAAAGTTTTACTAAGCTGACTAAAGCCAATATAGAGAGCACATATCTTCTGGTTAGGATAAACAGAATAAATACATTACAATTTTACAGATTCTGCCAAACTGAATTAAAGAGACTTCAAAAACAAGGCACCTTCCATCTTATGTAATCGCCTTGAGGAACTACTTGGAAATGCATTATGGTATTAGAGTATCTCCAGTGCCAAGTCCTTGGCAACAGGGAGAGGAGAAAAAAATAAATTCTTTTCAGTTTTGAAAATTAATGTAATATATTCATAGCTTCAATAAACTGAGCTATTTTAATGTCAGTACCATCCACTGACAAGCAAGACTACTGTATTTAAGAAAATTCACTCCAGCTCCTCCCCGACATATTTAATCAATACTTGGGAATTTGTAATTGGCTTATGTTTATACAGCACTCTGAAGATGTAAACTGCTATGTAAGTGACAACTAATGATGAGGCTTAAGAAGCATTCATCAGCTTTGTGTGAATTCACAAACAAACAAGTAGCTCTTGAAAGTATTAATACAGACCGCTATTAAATATCTCATTCTATTCATTTTAAGAGATTGCCCATGAACCTTCTGAAACATGCAATTTACATGTACAATACCAGCTTTTAAGAAATCTAGCAATACTGCAATTCTATCCTAGCTTTCATTGTTACTGTTTCTGTTGAAATTATTTATCCTATTTACACACCAGGAACTACAGTATTTAGTTAATACTGAAAATGAGTGCCAATTCATTTGAAAAAGTGGCTCTAAATGGGCACCTCAGCCTGTAGTGCTTTTCGAAATTATAATTCACCACGTCATTCCTTTTATTTAAAGAACAATAACTTAAAGACTTAATGCTCATTTCTACAATCTGGAACTTGTCCCAGGAAGGATAGCATAATCTGTGAGTAAAACTGCTGAAGATCATTGATGATCCAGACCTGCAAATGAAGGCCTGTATTTCCTGTAACTCTCTTGAAAGCTTTTATTCATTAAAATTGAATCAAGACCACATAAAAGGAGAGAGGCAATAAGATACTGAATCAAATTGAACATTTATTCTACTGGTGAAGACTAGCAGGCTTTTTCTCAAATACCCCAGTGCAAAAGAAGAAAGGAAACAATACTGTACAAAGACTTCCAAAACTAGCACTGAACAAAACACTGAAAGGAAAAATGCAGTGAAGGGAACGCTTTCATTGCATGGAAATGCATTAAAGTGATATAATTAACAATTAAGCTTACAAATGCCTGAGACTTAAATTCTTAGTTTGAAGCACCTGCTGATTTAAGGAGACAAACCCAAAACTTCTTATTCACTCTACAAAAATAAGCGTATATTCCCACTACACACAAGCTTTAAATAATTGTCTGTAATTTCAAAAACCATATTTACATTTGTGATAACACTGCCATGTTAGAATTTCAGAAGTCAATGAATGGCTGTAAAAACATAGAATACAAAGAAAGATTAAGAGAATTACTGTAACTTCACAAGCTCCAAAGCTGCGGCTTTCATTTTGTCTACATAAACCTTAAAAAAAAAGTTTCTCTGAAAATGAGTTGCAAAGTATAGCAGCAATTTAAGAACATGGTCTTATTAAAACAGGCATTTCTTAATCAGTCATTCTGAGAAAAGCTACTTTTCTACATTAAAAGTAATTGCATAGATGAAACTTATTTAATAAAAGCCTTAACTTCAGAAACACTCCCACTTCTCAGCTCACTGTATATGCAATTCAAAACAAATTTGTTAGTGTTCTATTTCAGTAGGAAAGGGCAAAGATGAAGGCTGGAATGTTTTCATTGTGTGATTAAAACACGTTCTACACAAATTTCAGTTCTACATGAAACACTTCCATCCTGCTTTCAGCAATCAAACTCTCCAATTGTATGATCTTAGAAGTCTTGTGTGATCATTGCAGGATGTAACACACCAGTTCCAAGTAACTGTCCTTTCATTTTAGGACAGGGCTGAATTAGACAAGCTCTCTGGGCAACACTTTTCAGACAAAATGCAGTAACCTTTTGTTTATTGTTGCTTTAATATAATAGTTTTACATTGTGAGTGTCAGTGAGAAAGAATCCATTGTATCTAAAAGCTAAGGAGAAGAAACAGCCACAGATCATCCTGGATCCCTGCTTCCTCAAAAGGTGAATCCTGGCTATTGCGACTATACCTATGGCTGGAGTCTGGCTGGTGAAACAAGATGTGAAGAAGTCAGAGCATGGAAGATCACTTGATCAAAGTGATTCAAAACACTGTGAAGTCACAAACAAGCAGTACAAGGGTTCAAATGTAAGTGATTACTTTGCATTAAACACGTTAGTCTGCCATGTTATCAGCAAAGCTGTAGCACTAGCAGCAAATCAAAACAGTCAATAGATCATTGGGGTTTGTTTTTTTTTTTCCAGTGGAAGAACATGAAGTTGTTTCCTGTCACAATTCCACTGGAATCTACTGAGCAAATTACAGATTGGAACCTAGATGAAACAGGTTGTATTTGCAGCTGCTGTCAGTTTGTAGGGCAGCTCCAGGTAATTCACATCACGCACTGTCTCTCATTTTTGCCACTTGTAGGAAAATACATACAATTAATTTCCTGCAATTGTCATAGCACTTTGACATAAGCTGATGGAAAGCCCTGCATAAAAGGAAAATCTTATAAGCTTGTGGATCCAATTCAGTATTGAGATCTTAAGGGTTAGAAAACCTGTAATTCCAGGTAAGAGAGATTTAAAGGATTTAAATCACTTTCTACTTTCCTGATCTGGGTCTACCAAGAAATAAAGTTGAACCCACTCATACCTATTCAAGCAACTCAAGTGGCAGTAACTTTTCACTGCTTTTCTGTGAGCAGTAGCCCTGACCAGAATCTACAAATTCTTTGCTTGTTTCCTATATTAGAATTTGCAATAGGTCCTTGATAATATCTCACAGCTTCAAATTCTATTTTCTAGCCCCCTCCTTTTTTCTGACTTTGTTTAACAATGTATAAGATGTTGATTATTTGTGACCTCTGGTAATAGGTTAAGAGACCCCAGTTTAGATGATGAGGGCTTGTGGCATCAGCCCCTACCATGTAACATCTGCTATCACTTCCTGCTACAACAGCACATCATATAAGAAAAACGGGTCCAACTACAGAGCACCAGATGCTTTCTCCTGTAGACAGCAGAAATGCAAGCTTCTCTTGTGTCTGCAATGAACAGAGCTAGGCCTAGATCAATAAAGGTAGGGTTCTAGGACTTTGATAGTCATGATGACATTCAGTGTACTTAATTGTACACAACTTGTAACATTAAGAGGTTTACAGAAGAGAGAAGGAGCATATACAAACCTTGCCATGAATTGGAAAGATGAACAACGCTAATAGCGAGGACAGGATGGGGAGGCACAGAGACTTCTCACAAAGAAGTGAAAGAGTACTAGCCCAAGAAAATTTTTATGCACATGAAAATTGAAGAGACTGAGGGTAGCCTAATTAACTGCACTGAGGGAAAGAAAGTGAAAAACAGGCACATGCAATGAGCTTCTGCTATGAAGAATATATTAAGTGCCAAGTGTACACAGACAAAACACTATTTTCCAGGTTTTAATGTAAAAAAAAAAACAAAAACCAACAACAAAAAAACACACCACAAAAAAAACACACACACAACAAAAAAAAAAAATCACAAAAAAAACCAAACAAACCAAACAAACAAAAAAAAACCCACAAAAAACAAAACAAACAATCAACAACAAAAAAGAAAAAAAATCAATTTACTCATCTACAGCTTGGAAACAAAATCGCAAAAGAAAAATCAATTATTATCTTTTTTTAATTGCCTTTTTAAACAAGTTACGGTTATTTGAACCAGTGTAAGCAGAAGCTCCTTAAAGCAAACTGCTACTCAATCACTTACAAATTCTGATAAGCCCAAACACTGTATGACAGAAGATGCAGCTATTAAAATAGTATGTTGAAAGCTACTTCAATAACTGTTGTTCAGTACACAGTTCTAGTGGAAACATTCAGCTATGCTACCACTCACTGAGTTATAAGCTCAAAGTTCTGACAGGTGTCTGTTTTAACTAGTATGACAGACAACTGATACCAAAACATATGAAAGCAAACCGATTTAAGTGAGCTCTAGCACACTGTTTCTAAGCTGGGGGAAGGGAAAAAAACCAAACAAACCAAAACCCACAAACAAAACAGAGAACTAAAACTAAACACCACCACAAAATAAGAACAAATCCTGCACAATTCTATATTAAAACTTACATGAATAGTTCAACTTACTCTTTTACTGAGGCAGATAACTGGCCACATACTACAACCTAAAGTGCAGCAGCAGCAAAGGCATCCACATAGTAGCCATCGTACATTAACTGGAAGGTTCTTCTTAAGACAGCTGTTAACTCTACTGATGCTGGCTTTAAATTCTTCAGGTGCAACCTACAAAGGAAAAAACAAAACAAACCAAAAAATAAGCTAGTACTACAGCAGTGCTTTTTATTACTTTTGCAATGGTCTACACCTGGAACTCTTGTTTTGTAATAAAATCTTAACTATGATTTCAAATTCCTATTCACAGATACTCGCCTTTCCAGTTAAAGATGAAGGAAATTCTGCTTCAAATTTGTTGCTTAGTCCAAACCTGCAAAACCAAAAATAAGATCATACCAAAATTAGAAATAACTTGTGGCATGGAATGAAGTTATAAGCACCTCATAATACCCTCTGGGTTTGTATCACAATAGCATTAATTTCAGGGAAGAAGTTGTTAAAAGTAATTCCTAAAATTATCTTAACCCACAAAAGTACCCTTAGTACACAGTCTGAAATCCATCTTGCCTATAGCCTTCTTCTTAAAGTTTTGTTGATACTGCTGACTCTTCCCCAAACTCAGCAAAATCTTTATAAGCAATATGCATGAAAAGTAAAGTACTTGTCACAGTTTGAATTATCTCTTCCATCACCAGTGCAGATGTATCTTAAAGGAAAGCTCACCTAGGCTGTGCTAAATAACTGTTCTATGTATTAAAACTGAATCAATACCAGCTTCCTTATTCAGAAAAAAACATATTAGTAAGTTTCAGAACACAAAAATACTACCTAACAAAGCATTATTTAAATAATTATTTAAATCATTAAAATAAGTATTTAAATAGTAACTAATTTGAAAGAAACATACTGATTACAAATGTAAAGCTATGAAGGAGTCTGAGATGAGCTGGAGTCACTGACTATTCTAGGTTTCAGAAGATCTAAATAGTAGAGAAGTTTCATATAATCTATTTAAAAAAAAAAAAGGAGGTTTCTATCTTAAAGTTGGCTGGTTGAGTTAATGAACAGATAAACCTCAAAGAGTATTTTAATATCTTCTGGCATCTAGCCTGGGCAATAACTTCTAATAGGGACTATACAGTCTAACAAAGTAATTAGTAAAACTGTATGACTGGCTACTAATTCAGGAAACAGCAGTTACTGTAAAACTTAAGTTGTAATTAATAACCACCTGAAGATAAACCAAAGCAGTCTTACTATCAGATACTACAAACACCACAAATCAGAAATTAAACTGCTCAAGACTTGAATACAGGCAGCAAAACCTAACACACAGTGCTCAGTTGCAGGCAGAAAAGCTTACCTGAACTTTGATAGTTGAAAAGACCTGATTTGTTTTGGCAGTATGTTTACTGAGCAGCTAGATGTTTCTTGGGGTTTATTTCAGGTTTTTTTCTTACTGAACCAAATGATCTGCAAGCTAACAGAGAACCTTATCCAAGTAATCAAATGGGCAGTTAAGTGCCATACCAGAGTTGAGCTACTGTGGAAGGGCCTCACAAAACCCAGTGGACAAAAGGTGACAGATGAGCTTCTGCATATATAAAGGTGGTGAATCTTGGAAAAGCTGAACTATACTTACATGATACTCAACTGAAGCTTGGTAGCTACAGCTCACAAGACAGATCTTTTATCACCAGTCATGATTCTCTTAAATATCTGCTCAATGCAAGCAGCAGCTGCCAGAAATATTGGGCACCACTAGGAATAACAGGATTAAGAAGCCCACAGAGGCCATCATTTTGACTCTCCACAAAACCCTCATGTACCCATGCATTCAGTACTAGGTGAGGTTCTTGCATCCACATTTCATTGAGGACTTGGTGGAGTTAAGAGAAAGCAGAAAGAAGGAAAACTAATATAATAAGGGAATAAAACAGCTGCTTTAGGAGACTGACAAGGCTGACACTAATCTGGGAAAGAGAAGGCTGAGAGGGTATATGATCAAAGTGCAAAGATTCAGGAAGGCAGTGGATAAGCTGAATGACTGACTGCTAATCACCAAATGCCACAACAGAGGGCACTCACTGAAACTAGTCAGATACTGGTTTAAAACATAAAAAAGTGCTTCTTTAAGCTGCAAGTAGCAAAATTCTGTGGTCTTCCACTTGAGATTAATGATGAAGACTGTGACAACAGATTTGAAGACAGACTACACAAGTTCCCTGGCAAACAGGCTGTAAGGGAAAGACGATGTTGAAGTATATATCACCTCCCACAACTGCAGATGACAGAGAGTATAAGAATGGACACCAAGAACAGCTAGACTTGCATGCAGCCAGCCCACAAACAGCAACGCCTGTTGCCTCAGTCTGCACCAGCACACTGGGCTATGTATTTTGTGAATTTGACTCTGTAGGCAATTTTTATGGACGGTCTCAAGGAAAGGTAAACAAGTTATCTCCCTATCACTGACTGCAGGCAGTAGAAGCATAATTATTTAGGACTATCAAAGATTATCTAGTCCAACCCCCTTGCCACTAGACCAGATTGCTCAAAGCTCTGTCCAACCTGGCCTTGAACATTTCCAACAATGGGGCATCCACAACTTCTCTGGGAAACCTGTTTCAGTGTCTCACTACCAGCACCATAAGAAATGTCTTCCTTATATCCAAACCAAATCTACACATCCTGTTTAAAAACATTGCCCTTGTCCAGTTACTTACTAGAGGCCCTGGTAAAAGTCCCTCTTCAGCATTCTTATAAGCCTCTTCAAAGGCCGCAATAAGGTCTCCCCAGAGACCTTAGTTACACACAAGTTACCTAAGCGTATATGAGTATTTGCAGTTAGAATAGTAGCTCTGTAACCCCTATAAATCCCTTAAAACTGGTGAAGTTACAAATTAACATTGTTCACCAGAGAAATATATGGCAAGTTTACCACTTCAACACAAAAGAAAACCAAGACTCACTGGAAAGATACTTCCATCACTGAAAATCCTGTTGAATACCCCATGACAGGAGGACCATCCACCCTTTCCCTAAAATCCTGAGTCAAACCAAGTGCTGAGGCAAAAGTTACGTAAGCTTCAGAAGGAAGTGCCATGCCCTGTCAGTTAAGCTACTTAAAATTACCAGTAAGGTGAAGTGGAACCAAAGCCTGAAAAAAATCCCTTGGATCTGTATACACTTCATAAGCAGCCAGGAGCATAAGAAGGACTCCAAGATACACAGCAGGCATCAGAAGTCTCAAACTAAAAGGTAACATCTCTTTACTATATAAGTAATTCATCAAATCAGACAGATGTCTGAAGAGATGTCCCTTCAAAGAATGATCTTCATGTACTTGATGCTTCAACATCCAGAAGAAATTTTCCATGAATAATGGAATTAAATATGATTTTGAGCAATAAGGGAGTGGCCAACTACCAAGGATAGGATGATTCAGTCCAAAGCAGCTCTTGTTGCAAGAACAACAGCTGAGCTCCTATACAACACAAGACAGAATTTCAGCTGTCCCTCTACCCAAAATAAGGAAGGAAGCCCTTTACCCTGAGGTGCAAGCAGGTAAGTCAAAGGCACACAAAAGTCTCCCTGCTTTCAGTTAAGTAACAAAAAGATGTAATTGCAGGAAAGCCCTGTTCAAGTCTCATCTTGAAGATTGGCTAGGAAATCAGCAGGACACACACAAGGCTTTTTTTGTGAATGCATGATCCAAAAATATTCACATACTGAAAGCCTCAAACACAAGCAAATATTTATGGAGATCGCAAAAGCCATGTCAACAAAGACAACCCTACTGGAAAAGCTCTAGAGGTATCTGAATTTACAAACAGGCTGAGGCATAGTGAGGCACAGAAACTTCTGAGTTTCTTCACCAGTTACACTTTAGTGAAGTTGTAAGTAAATGAGACCAAGACTCCATACTTGAAGCTTGTGGCAACATTTACAAGTGTTTATGGTGGGGTAGCAAAACTGAAACATCAAAGCTAACTCAAACAGCTACCAACAGCATTCTGAGACTTCTGTGTTACAGTTTTGTCACCACATGCAAGTAGAAAAAAACAGTGACTCCATACACTAAAAGCTTTGATAAGCAATTATATGATCTCAGTATTACCAATCTTGATTGTAATCTGCAATTTGGAAATTAAAATACTAGAAACTTCACAGAGCACTATGACATGTTCATTATAAAGACATAAAAGCTCTGACAAAAAGCAGCAAAAGATGTCTTAAAATCAATATTCTGAAAATCAGTATTCTGGAAATGTATTTCCTCAGCCAGCTGTCCTCATGTAACAGTAGATTTCTTTTCTACAATACTGCATCTTCAGTGACAAGTACCCTTCCCTGCTTGCTCTATGCTTTCTGCATTCTACATCATGTCTTCAACAGATCCACGTTCACCTCCCAGATGACTGCTTTCTTTAACCTTCCTGGAACCTGGAAAAGTGTTTCCGGAACATGACTCTGCTTGAAAGGTTCAGCTCAGTTACTGCCCTTGTGTACAGTTTAGAAAGAAAAGCTGAGAGGTAGAAACATCAAAGTACAGAAGCTTACAGTATAGGACAAAGCCAACCTGCAACCTTTTCTCAGCTTGCAACTCAAATATTCACAACATATAAAACTGACACGCTACTCTCTTCACCTTTGTCCTCTCTTATGGGGACACTAAACCATTTTTTCATTGCTCTTAACCATACTCTTTAGTTTCACATGTTCACAGCCCTTACAAAATAAATATGTATTCCACAAAACTTAACACAGTCTATCCATAATTTCCACATAGCCCTGTTTTCACTCGTATGTCCTTGATACAGAGTAAGGTTCAAAAAAATGTATCAGCAGAATTAAGTTTAAAGAAACTGACTTGGGTAAAAATACATTTTATGAGGGTTTTTTTTCTCTCCAAACAGTTATATTGCATCAACACAGAATATGCTAAGATGACAAATAGCACAGAAAGGCATTCATTAGCACATCACAATGGCTTTCCAGCATTCCAGCACTGCAAAAGGCTAATGAATCCAGTATTACCACTACAAAATACAGTTTGCTACAGACTAGCTAATACAGTCTGGTATAGAAAAGGCACATATGTCTCAGCTAGTAAAGGAAGAGGAAAGCACAGGAAAACAGCCACTGAAAAACACAATCAGACATCAAATACAAATATTCTCTTGCAATTTCAAACTCATCACGTACCCCTCTTTCCACCCTGAAAGCAAGTATGAAATACCTTGGACTTTCAATCCAGTTCTAAATCCTGTTATTTTCTCAGCTTTCAGGTTTCTTGCCATTAAAAGAGATCACCTCAAGTTATCAAAAAACAAGTCAAGTATTACTCCAGACTACTGAATTATCTAAACTTTGCTGGTGTGAAAACAGTTTAAATGAATATTAAAAAAACAATGTCAAAGAAAAAAAGTTTTGTAATTGTGTGCCACATGGTCCCAACACTGAGTTTCAGAAGAAAACTTAGAGCTAACAAAAAACCCCACACTCTGGAAAGGCAAGGCCTTTGTATGTTTGATTTGGATAGTATTTACCCGCTGTCCTTAATTTGCTTTTAACTGCTCAGCTTAGAAAGATCTCTCACACACTTCCGTTGTCAGCTGGATGAAACCGAGTGGTAGTAAATGTCTTTCTGACATTAATCTGTAGGCATGGAAATGCCATATTTCAAACTCAACATTATGTAAAATCAGAGAGGACAGACTGTGAAAAGAAAACTTCTGTTTAAATTCACACCCTGCAGAAGAGTGTCAGTCACTCTTTAAACAGCAGAGCCGGGGACAGATCAATCCAGTATTTGCTTAATTGCAGATAGTTTTTGTCAGACATTCCAAACTCATACATGTTTTTATACCAGGCCAGACTAATTCATTACATACGTAAGGCTTGACCTACTCCTGAAACCCACCAAGTGAATGTTCTGACAGTGATCTAACTAATAATAAGCATCTCTGTCAATGACAAAAGAAGTTATAGGCTGTACAAAGGTAAAAGTGCCTGATGCTATTTACTGAACTGTTCACACCTGGTGCAATTAAGAAAGCAGATGAAGATGAATCGCCTAATTTTTGAGGTACATGTTTGCATTTCATTGCTCATCCAAAGCCTAAAGTGCAAATATTTTAAGAAAGACCTTAATGTAATAATGAGCTAGTGACCATTAATAAACAATTAATGAGGTAACCATCCTTCTTCAACCACAATACCCTTAACTAGTCACAGACATGCTACACAAGCTTCCTACGATTCCACTAACGGGCCATGACCTTGTCTCACACAACTTACTTTCCAGTATTGGAGAAGAAACCAGTGTTTGCCTCTATTTCAGTTCTTTATACTTCCGCATTTGCTAATATGAAAACCGTGGTTTTGATGTTTACCAGAAACAGGCTGAGGCTACCAGCTTATTTTCAGAGAAGTCATTGGATGGGTAGCATTTTTTAATTTTTTTTTCCACAATAAACAGTCACACACTGAACAGTTTGGCTACATGCTTCTGTCCCTTTATGGGGCCTCCTCAGCCTCCTGCCCATTTCATCCTTCCAACTTCTCTCAGTCTATCGTGTCTTACTTCCTGTTGTTAACCAGACAGTAAACTGCACTGCCCAGCTGTTAGTATTACTTAATGCCAACCAAACATAGCAATAATGTACTAATGTGCCACAAAACCACTCCAAATTTAAGCCTGGTCTTCTGGAAAGGTCAATATCTGCAAATCAGTAGAGTTCATGGAACTCTGACATAGATCACAATACCTTCAACCTTTATGCTTCTATTGCAAGTCTAGTCTTGCTGAACAGTGAACAATGGAAAACAAAAAAAAGTTCACACTGCCGTGTTTTGTCTCCAGGTCGGTGTTTCAGTTTCTGCAGCTGTACATCGTTAACTGACAACCACGGCATTTCGGTAGAGTGTGCCTAACAGAACTGACTGAAGGAAAGACACTCTCATCTGTTGCATTATTGATAAGCTCTACACTAACTCACGGACACTTGCTGCTAGATCATCAGAGATACTAAACACTGACAAAACAGAACTCAGTCACTCCCAGATTAAACACAAAGAAACAACACATCAATCACAACTTAACATGATTTTACACATACCTGACTCACGGATACCTTTTCTTTCTTAAAAGTTCTCAAGAACTGTATTAGCGGCCACATGTCAGATGGGAGTGGGTAACAGATACATAAACAACCCTAAGCAATAGCCCAGCCGGTCAGGCGCCTGCATATACCTGTTATACACAGGAACCTTACTTCCTGACAGCTCATCGTTTTGGACAAATACTTCACATTCCTCTGCTAGTCATAGCTCAAGTCAGCCTTGCTTCCTCAGCGCCTCGTTTGAGTTTTGCACCCGCTTGCGAGACCCAGGCAGCCCACAGCTGCCCGGCGGGACCGAGAGGCCCTTCCGCAGTCCCATAGAAGCAGTAAAGGCCCAGCATCCCCCCCACCCGCCTCCCCGACCTGGAACCGCCGTCGCCACCACCCCCAGGCCCGGCACCCAGGGGCCCCTGTCCCGCCGCCCAGGCCTCCACCGCCCGCCCCAGCCGCGCAGGCCCCGGCGCGGCCCTTACACGGTGACATGGCCGGAGCCGCGCACCACCACCGGGTCAGGAGAGTACTTGAGGAGCTGCTCCTCTAGCGCCCGCTCCTCGTCCTCCTCCTCCTCGTAGATCTCGTCAAAGTCCGCCATAGCCAGGCCCAGGAGTCCGCTGAAAGAGAGAGGAGCCGGGGCGGCGCGACAGGGCCAGCCGCGGAGGCCGGCAGGAGGGGGCCGGCAAGGACACCCCGATGCCGGGGCGGGCGGCAGCGGAACCCCAGCAAGGCAGCAACAGCGGCAGCAGCACCGGCTCCGGGCGAGGAAGCGCCCGTCACCCTCCGCGGGGGGAGGGGGCGAGGGGCGGGGCAGGAACAACAACAACAACATCCGGCCGCGGGCCCTGCCCTCGTGGTGGGAGGCGGAGTTGGGCGGGGCCGCCTCAGCGAGAGGCGGGAAGGGCGGTGGGCGCCCGCTGCGTCACCCTGAGGGTCCGGAGCGGCTCTGCCCCTCAGTGATGCGCTGGGAGGGGTGGGTGGGTGTTGGTTTGTGTGGGCAGGGTGTGCGCTTATCCCTAGTTTTAGCCCCGTTTTGGGCACCTGTGGAAACAGCCGAGGGGTTTGGAGGTTTCCGTTAGTTGAGGGGGCGCACGTTGGGCCCTCTGGCTTAGCTCAGCAGGATGTGAGGGAAGCAGCGCTCATACAAGGGCAGCCTGTTCTGATGAAGGCTGGTGCCAAGTGTTGGCATGACCCGTGGTGCTCTTAGGGTCTGGGTTTGCCATCTTTCTGGTAGCTTTTGAGCCCTCTATGGAAAGCGCTACCCCAAGACTCTGGTTTTCATGGAGTACAGAGCAGAAAAATTGCAGAAGAACAGCCCCATTTAGGGATATATATGTATATGCATATATATATATATATGAAACCTAACTAGAAAACCCTAAAAATGAACGGGAGTCTTGTTCTCTCTCTGAAGTTTTGGTATTTGTAATAACCAAAACCTAAAGCAGAGGCTGGAAAATAACGATGAGCATAATGGCCTTAGCTACAGATAGGCTGTCTCCTGTTGTGACAACAGTGGAAGGCATAAGATTTAGAAGCAGCAGGCTGACATTTTAAAAAGGAGGAACAGATCTTTTTTGTTTGACATGGTGGGCTAGTGGATCATGTAGTTGCAGCAGTGTTTAATACACAGATAATGTCAGTTACGAGGTTCAGCCCCAAACAGTCAAGAAACTTTGGTGCTGAAACTTCTTTTCATGAGTGTGAAGAGAACTCTACATTCCCTTTTTCTTTCCCAGTACTTTAATATGTGTATCTTAATTACAACAGCCCCTTTCTCATATTAGATCATTTTTCCTCTGAAACCTGCAGGGTTTTTTTTTTCTTGTCTTATGACAGTATATATACTGATCAGCTTATTTTCTGAAAGACTATGTTGCTGCTTAACCTCTGTTACTCATAAAGAGGCTTGTGGTGTATTTCTCAGGAATAAAATGTACACAAAGATGTGATGGTGCTTACTGCTCTATGCAAAACCAGGGTAGAAGCAGTGTTGTTGTGAGACTGTCCATGACACTGTCTTTGCCGTAAAGGAAAAAAGCAGTATCTTTTACTGTCACACTGGAAAAGTGTGACAGTATTTCTGCCATGAGCTACTTGCAACAGGTTTCATTTCTCAAATAACAATTCTACAGAATAACACAGAATTTCTTAGAGTAATAGTTTGCTCTCATACTAGTATACTTACGCATGGGGCTTTTTTACCTAGTTACTGGTTTTGCATGTGTCTCACACGTAGAAATTTGATTTAGCAGGACTGATAACTCATTGCTTCTGTCTACCATCCTGAAATTGAGAAAATGGATCACATTTAATACTGGAAAAAAGCAAGAGGAAGCACACCCATTTCAGTGAAGCTATGCCTCCTTATGCTAGCTCACCTTATAGGGTGAATTTGGTAACCTGTTTGTTTTCAGCTGGCTGTTTCATAGTAGCATTGAAAGGGTGAGCTTACCTACGTCACACTCAGCCCTTGTAGCAGTGCTGCAGGGCCAGCTATCCTATTTGAGATCTGAGGTCCCTGCGCTGCGCAGCATGACAAGCTTGGGTAGCTCACTTTATGGCTTTGAGATAAGACAAGGAGAAAGAGAGTCCCTCAGCTAGTTCATTGCATTAGGTGTATGTCACTTGCCTAACAAATACCTGCTCCATGGTCTGCTGTTCAGTGTGTGGTAGTCTTTAACAAAGAGCTGTGACAGACAGGAAGCAAAGTGCTCAGCTTCTAGGCTGAGATGCCCATGATGTTTTAGTACATGTTCTGTAGCACCTGTGCAGCGGGGAGTGCAAGGTACTTCAGCATATTGGGCTTTTGGGACAGGCACCAAAACTGAAGTACATGCAGCCAGCAGCCACCCATGAAAAATTCAATTTAAGTAACATTTCCATCATCTCACATGGCACTGTTAGAATCTTGTTTTGCAGTCAGAAATTAACTGCCTTAATCTCGAGTATGCTGTGTCTGTGTCGTTGGCACTAACATCTTCAGTACTGATGCCAGCGGTACTGAAGGTCACCCTCAAAGGCACTAAGTTTCATGCAGCTGGCATCCTACCTCACAGTGAAGAAGGTCTTGGCATGGGCCTCTCTTGTGTTTCAAGGAGTACCACATGACTAGTTGTTCCTTCTCCACTGCTGTCACCTCAGTTGTGTGCCAGACTCCCCATCAGCCATGCACTCCTGAATCCATGCCTTCACATTGCAGCTTGTGACTGTTTTGGTGCGTGTTCTGACCCGAAATGGTGGCACACCTCTCTATAGTGCGTTGTCCTTTCTCTGGGAACAGTGAGAGTAATGCCAGACTCATGCTGGCTGTTTTTAAACCCCTTACTCTCTTTAAATAAAAGAGGATAGGCCTGAAGTCCAGCTTGAAGAGCACTGTGCTGTTATTACACGTGGGAGTGCCCTTCCCAGTGAATTTGCTTGCTGTAGCAAGTGGTTCTGTGGAGAACTGGTGCCGTGCACAGGTTTGACCGATGTATTCACTGTCCTCTGAGTTGCTTTGTAAGGACTGTATGCTGTAATCTAAAGGGGACATTAAATCATTGTCACATTTCTTTTTCTGTAGCTCTTTATTCCAGTTCCCTCTTTCTATTTTGCACCTGCAAAAGAAGAATATAGAGAAGAATAGAGTCCTTACAGTTTCAAGTCTGCTGAAACTGTGGATGGGTGCACTTGGATACTCCTGCTCTTTCAAAGACCACATGACAACAAGTTACGGAAGGCAGAATCTCCTAATCCAAAAAGAATTTGTGATATACTCAACTTATAGACATACTTGTGTCCCACATAACCTACAGGCAAAATAAACTCTTGGCTGTTTTTAGGCATGGCCTTGAGATTTTTTTTCTCAGAGGACTCATTGACATAGGAAATATGTATAGTCGCTAGTTTCTTCCTTTCTCATCAATATGAGAATCTAATGCAGCAGAATCCTTGCTGGTTTGTTGTTTATTTGTTCCATAATCACATCAATTAAACAGAAACACACAAAACATCTCTGGTTTTCATTTTATTTGAGACAGATGTAGCAATGAAATCAATGAGGGTTTTCAATGCCACAAGTACAAAAGCATGAAGTCCACTAAAATGAAACATAAACAAAGTCATATAAACAGACAAATGGAACAGCAAATTCTAGGGGTTTAAAGCATTCTGAAAATGGCAAATGGCCAATATTGAGCCTTTCTTCAGAAGATCACAGTATCTGTTGGAAGTGCTGAAAAGGAGTATCGAGGAATACTGTAGGCTGAAGCCTGTGCTGTATCTGATAGAGATCTGATAGAAGATACTGTTTGTTGGGTAAAGCTGTAGTCAATTTCTTCCCTAAAAAAAACAAGCAAACAAACAAAAGAACCCAAACCAAACAAAAAAGCTGATGATAAAGGATATGAGGCTCTTGTAGCTGCTGTTGGAGAGAGCAGTCATACCACCCTGAACCTCAGCAGGGATTTTAATTTAATGTCTTTATTTTTTCTTGTTTCTTTGTTTCTCCATCTTTTAATGCCCCATCTCATAGTTTATATTTATTTTGAAGACAGTTATTTTTCTCTTGGTAAATATGACCAAATGACCAAGTTGTTTACTCACTGTCTTTAAAAAACAGTAGCTACTTAACTACTGCAACTGAACTACAAATCTCTAAGTCACTATTAAAGATGTAGTTTTTAATTAAGAAAGTGCTAAAATCAGATTTACTACTCTGTTCTTAAGATAAAACGCCTTCATCTAACATATTCTAGAGAATTAGACAATGTCTCTGTCCATTTTTGCTTGAGAATAGAAAGTGCCAAAGTTTTTATCCTGCTTAAAAGCAAAAACCCTCTGCTGTGCCACCCACATGTACCCAATCTGTTGGAAAACTAGAACTATGTATTCCTTTAGGTTTGAGAACATAATTCTTTGCCTGTCAGATTATTCTGACAAATTACATTATAATTACTTCCTCACTAATTACTGTGACAAATGTTGATCTAAAGAGAGCAGGGAAGGATGTCTTTCATTTAAAATCATCAAAACATGAACAACTGAGATTTCCTCTGAACACTTGAACAGTCATTGATATTTGGACATGCTAACATGTTCATTCCTATTGCATATAAGCAGAGAGAGACTTCTAGCACCTGTCTCTTTCAGATATGACAATTTTATTTGCTTTTGAACATCTTTAAAATAGCATCTTTTCTGCTTTCAAAGAGATATTTTTTCTCTCTGATAGCATGAGACATGGTCCACAAAGCATGAAAAAAATATAGATGCTCTTGTTCTAGAAGTTGTTTCAATTTGACAAAAGCACTTACAGTGGAACATACTACACTCCTAGAGCATGAGGTCCTCAAGGAAAGTAAAGAACAAGTAACAGTTCCACCCTCTGTGGTAAAGCACGAGAGATGGTAATAATCTGCAACCTGAAAAGAAACTTGATTCCCTTCCAAAGCAAGATGCTGGAAAGGATCGGCCTCTCTTCAGGATCCAGTTCCCCCTTTTGAGTTCATTTATGGTAGTCTTGTCCTACCTTGTCTTGTGATGTAACAGAGTGAAAATCTGTGCTTTAACCTATCACCATATGAATGCTACAGTTGGTGCCTGTGTGAGGAAGCAGGAGAGGAAAAGTATTGCACACATGATTCAAAGGCGCTTTGTGATCACATTTGTAAATCTTATTGCAGCTTGGTTAAGACATTGGTATAGAGTTGTTTTCTCTCCTCCAAGGGACTAGAGTAACAATAAATGAAATCAGTGATGTTTCAGTAACTGATCTGTTTGTACACAATGGACTGCTTGTACCAGAATGTCCTTG